GGCTCCGAGCCATCAGCCCAGAGCCCGACGCGGGGCTCAAACTCCCGGACCGCGAGATCGTGACCTGGCTGAAGTCGGACGCTTCACCGACTGCGCCACCCAGGCGCCCCTGTTCACATCTTCTTAAACCATGAGTACGTGTTACAACGGTAAACGGAAACAAATACGATTATCCTTGTTGTGGAAAAAAAAGAGAATGTAATGGATGCATTTAGTTAAGAAGTGTTTAAATAGTGGAACATAATAGGGGAAAAAAGTCATCCTCCTTCCTGGTTCCTTCCTCCATCCCTCCTCCTTCAGAGAGCCTTGATGCTGGCTGCTGGCTGGCCGGGCCCTAGCTCCCGGCTGGCAAGGCGGGCACCGGCCGGGCACTGCTCTGATCCCCATCCTATCTCTCCTCGCTCCGCGTGCAGTCATTCCAAAGTGTGTCCTGAGAGTTCTTTGATTCGGATGTGTTCTGTAAGTTAGGCATTGTGGTCTTGCGGGCATGGGTTATTTGTTTTCACATAAATGGCGTTGGGCTATAGATCTCATTCTGCTTCTTTCTGTTTCCCACTCGGCACTGTGTTTCAAAGGCCGCTCGGCCGCTGTGGGTCACCTAGCCCAGTGCTGCTTATCGCTGCTGAGAACACCCCACCGAGTACACATCGTGTAGGACGTAATCTCCCCCCCTTTTGACGTACACAGTCACGTACTGAACGCGCTTGCATGGGCAGGGAACAGGAGCCACCTGAGTATACAGGTACGCTGTGACGTGAGAAGGCACGAGGGAGAACGGCAGTGTTGGTCAAGTTCCTTACAATCCGGCAGAAAGCGAGGAGGACTGGCCTGAGGCCTGGCGGTGGGTTTGGGGACCAAGGAGGGGACAGCTGTGAGCAAAGATACAACCTGCTAACGGTCATCGAGCACTCTCTGGTGCGTGCACTTTCTCTTTCAATCGCACCCACGCTGTCAAAGAAGTGCTATTATTCCAATTTACAGGCAAGGAAACTGGGGCGTGGAGAAGTGAAGTCTCTTGCGCAGGGCTGACCTCACAGGAGAGAGAGCCGGCATTGGACTCGGGAACTTTGAATCCACAGTCTGTGACCCAGCCACCAAATTCTGCTTCCTCCCTTTGCTGGAAGGCCTCGGTGCTCTGACCCCAGGGATAACCCCTGGCTGGACAGAGCTGCCTCCTCAAAAATCACCCCCTCTTCCTAGATCAACCCACACTTGGTGACTGATCGATGAGGGTGCAGAAAAGCCCAGTCCCGTCGCCCTAACTCAGGATGATTCTGAGAGGCCATCACGCGCCCAGAACTCTCTGTGGGGTGGATCAAGGCCTCTCTTGGGACGTCTTCCCTCTGCCCCGTCCTATTTCCTTCCTTCCTGTTCATAGGGAGATGCCAACAGCCTCCCCAGATGATCTTTATTATTACTATTTTGCTTTGTATCCTATCCCCTATTTTTTCCCTCTCCCCTCTACCGTTCTACCTTCTCAGGGCAGAGTCAGCTATGTTTCTCCTCCACCTCCTACCGGGGGAGGTTGGCTCACCCCTGTGAACGTGGGCTGGGTCCTCAGCCCCAGTACGGGGAGCGCCCTGACAGGAAGAAAGAGCTCAACCCATTTCTGTCTTCTCAGAGCACATCAGCTTTTGCTCACAGGTCACACCCCCCCTCACCGGGCCACAGAAACATTTCCAGGCTCCAGCACAGCAGGGGCGGGCCCCGGTAACTTGAAACAGCCCGCAGTGATGGCCTTGGGCCATTACGATATTTTTTGGTCTTGGAAAGAATACTTGCAAATTACGAAAATTACGCCATTTCCTTCGCCCACCAGAAGCACCCAAATTGCATTTTGATCACGTTACAGAGGAAGCCCCGATACTTGGCTTTGAGGTTCAGATGTGTCTGGTTTTAATCACGGCCTGTGCTGGTTTTCTAGTTCCCTCAGATTGGACTAACGCAGAAGACACCAGAATCCATCACAAGTGCTATGTTGAAAGAACCCCACAGCCCACGTGTGTCTCAGCAAGTGGAGGGGAGGCTACCCCCAATCTACAAGGTTCGAGAGAAGGTGAGTCCCGAGTGCTGGCCCGGGCCACGCGTCCCTGTGGCTCTCCAAGGGGGCGGCACCCACGGGCATTCCTGGCCTGTCAATTCTTCCTCGGAAGGAACTACTCTTTCGTCATCTTTGGGTCCTTAGATGCCGGTAGCATCCCACCTCCAATCCTGGTCACTCTGACACCCCAAATACTTCCTAGAAGGAACTGCCTCCTGGCTCAGACAATCAAGTTAGGCTCCTCTGTGGACAGGAAAACACCATCTTTGGTTACAGCCCGCAGATCGTTAACAGGCACGTTCTGCCTCCCTGGCCAGTTCACCAGCGACTTCGGGGGCACGAAGTGGCCTCAGGGAGAAGCCAGTGTGGACTTCACCCTTAGCTAACTCACGCAGCCGACTTGGGCCAGGATCCTTATTGGTCAGAGGAAGAACTTTGGTCTTGATGGCCTCCAAAGTCCCTTCCCAGCTTTCAATTCCACGAGCTTATACACTTGTCCTTCTTTGCCTCCAAAGAGGGTGTTTTGAAAGAGAATTTTTATGATTTTCCGCAAGGTCACCAATGAGGTTGACTTTTAAAGCCTTGAGTTGACAGGAACACCCATGACCTCTGTCCCGCGCCGTCTGCTCCTTTCCGGTGATGGGTTTGGTTCTGTCTGCGGGTTCTGCCAGCACGCTGGGGTTCTGATGTGTCTTTTTTCCAACTCCTTCCCAATCTCTTGTAGCAAGCGGCAGATAACAACTTCCCCTTCTCTGTACACGACAATCGCTACAGCTTTCAGAGCTCTGGATGCTACCTTGACTCTGTGAGTATCTCCCTCCAGAGTACTAGCAAAACTGAGAGCACCTCTAGTTTGCTAGACGATTTTCCCCAACTCGGGAACAAGGTCATGTGTGCACCTCACACTTCTCAAAGTACAAACTGCCCCATTCGCGAGCTTTCGTGGGAAGGTCTGTAACGGGAAAGAGGGGTTTCCCAGGTGTGTCTCTGGTGGACAGAACCAAGCCCCCCCGGGACAGGTCAGAGGGAGGCGAGCTTACAAAGTACAAAGGACTTCCCATAACTGGAGCTGTCTTTCCCCTAGAGGGGGTGAGTTGCCCTCAGCGGAGAAAATAAAGTCTGAGAGCACGTAGTGGTGGTTAACACAGCACCGTGCCGTGGAAACCTATATGTTGTGAGCGGCACACGCGACTGGAAAGGTTCTAGTAGCCCCGTGGAGGAAAAAAGAGGTGACATTAATTTTACTAATGTATTTTATTTAACTCGATAATTCCCCAAATGATCCGTTCGACATGTAATCAATGTAAACATTACTCATGAGATATTTTACATTCCCCAAGCGAAGTCTTTAAAATCCAGTTTTGTGTTTTATTCTTGTGACACCTCTGAGTTTAGAAGACCCACATTTGCAGTGCTCATGTGGCCACGGGGCTGTCAAAGTAGGCAGGGGAGGGTTAACACAGCTGAGGTAGAGGGTTGGATCACGTGATCTCTGAGACTCTTTACCAACTCTGAAAGTCCATGATGATGACGACGACGACGACGACGACGACGACGACGACGTGAATAATACCCACCATTTGTAAAGCATTTGCCCTGTGCTAGCATCTCCTACGATCTCATTGAACCATCACGACAACATTGCTGGCTAATTACTCTTATCATCCCCGATTTAAAGATGAGGAACCTGGGAACAGTGATGCTAAAAAGCTTGCCCGAAATTACTCTTTCCTCCAGGCTGCCATCTTTAAGCTAAATTGAAGTGGTTCAACCTAAAAAAGAATCTGGTTTTCCCTGGCAGAGTGTTGAACACAGAGCGAGAATACCCACTCTGCCTGACTCTCTAAATGGAATGTTTAACATCATTTTTTAAATTATCAAAGTAACAGATGTCCTTTACAACTTTCAAAGAATACAGAATTAAATAAATTTTCTTAAAAATTTGCACTGTTACTTTCCCTCCTCACAATCCTACCTCGAGGACTCACAGATAATGGTTTGGTGGGCAAAATTTGAGAATTTTTTTGCAGTTCACATGCAAATATACACATATAAGCGTATATGTTGTTAATGGTATAAACAGGATTGTACCACATATATTCTATCAGAGCTATGTTAGTCTCATAGAAAACACTGGAAGCTTTCCAACTTCCTCTACATTCTGGGCTGGTTTACATAAAGTGTGGAATTTCAGTTTAACGAGGTTTAGGTAGAATTTGCCCATAAAATTATTTGAGTTTGAGAACGTTTTTAGTTTTTGTTTTTTTGTACTGTTTTCCCTTTTTAATTTCTCCATTGATTATTAATCTATTAAAACTGTCTATTTTTTTTTTTAATTTTTAAGGGTTTATTTATTTATTTATTTATTTATTTAGAGAGCATTTGAGTAGGGGAGTGGCAGAGGGAGAGGGAGAGAATCCCTGATTCAATCTCACAACCTCTCATGACTGTGAGGTCATGACCTGAGCCAAAATCAAAAGTCGAATGCTGAACCGACTGAGCCACCCAGGTGCATTGTTAAGATTTTATTTTTAAGTAATCTTTACACCCAATGTGGGGCTTGAACTCACAACCCCGAGGTCAAAGTCACACACTCCACCAACCGAGTCAGCCAGGTGCTCCCCAACTTTCTATTTCTTCTTGAGTAGATTTTGTTGACATGTGTCTAAAGTGTATTTGTTTCCAAATCTGTTGGTGTAACATCTCCTAAAATACTCTTAGTTTGCTGTTCTTTTATATCTTTTTTGGTTGCGTGTTTAATTCATATACTTGCAACTGTTTTTGTTAGTAAACCTACTAAAACTAGGAATTTTCCTTAGATTATTGCTTTGGCTACATCTGAACATGTTTTTAAACTAGAGTTTCATTATTATTTGCTTCCAAATAGTCTATGATTTAATTTTTAACTCTAAAAATAATTTAGAAGAATGTTTTGAATTTTCTACGTAGCTAGAATTTTTTCAGATCAACTTCTGTTGCTAATATCTAGTTCTATGGTTTATATAAGTTCTATAGAATATGAATTTTGAATTATAAAGATTATCTTTGTTATCTTGTACATGATTGATTTTAACAAAAATTTCATGGGTGTTTACAAAGTTGGTTGCAAAATTCTTAATTTTATTAAGGCCATTAATTATGTTATTCAAATCCTTCATAACCTTTTCTTAATTTTTGTCTTCATTTGTCAATTTTTCCTTCTAAGATTATTCTTGAGTTTCTAAATTTTTTTAACCTTATGTAATTCTTTCAATGTTATGTAGTTTAATATCATATTTTTCTGCATAATAATTCATGAATATTTTATGTTCTTGGTGGCTCTTATTATTTATCAATACGAAGCATCCTTTACATACTTTAGTGTTTTTAGGCATGAATTCTGAATTGCAATATTAGCTTTGCCACTATTACATTACTTTCTCTCCTCTTTTTTTTTTTTTAACATTTATTATAACAATTATTTCATATAACACTTCAGGGTCCTAACGTAGTTCTCCTCTATGCCTACCCCTATTAATCTCTTCGTTTTCCCCACTCCCCCCCCATCAATCCTCTATGCAAAGCGATTATTCTCAGTGATGGCGGTTCCTATTTGCCTCTCCTTCCCTTTCTTTTGTAACTCAAAAAGCTCTTCCTCTCCCCTCTATTCTTTCTTCTGTTGAGCTTTTCGATCCGCCATGGCGAGGAAAATATGCGAGATTATCTGTCTTTTTCTGTTTGACTTTATTTTACTTTATACTAACACTTAGTTCCATCTTATCGCGAGCGGTTAAATGGTTGTAGGGATTCTTCTCTTCTCAAGCTGCTAGGTATTCCTCGTTGTATATATAAAACCTACACATCTTCTATTCATTCGCCAAGTCATGCGTGACATTTAGGCTCTTTCCATAATTTGGTTATTGTTGAAAGCGCTTCTACAAACATTGGGGTACAAGTGTCTCATGCATAGTCAGCACTCCCATCCCTTTAAAATTCTCAAACAATTTTGGTTTCCTATTGCTCACATTCATTACTTACATTATGGTTTATTTCTTTGTCTTTTACTTTTTAGTCAATTTGTATTTTTTAAAAAAAGTTTCTTTTATGTTTATTCATTTTTGAAAGACAGAGAGAGACAGAGCAAGAGCAGAGGAGGGGCAGAGAGAGAAGGAGACACAGAATCTGGGTAAGAGACATGCAGCCAGGCTCTGAGCTGTCAGCATATTAGAGCCTGGGCTCAACTCACTTTTAACCGTGAGGATCACACAATCATGACCTGAGCCGAAGTCGGACGCTTAACCGACTGAGCCACCCAGGCGCCCCTGTATTTTTTTAATTATAAATAGAATAGAGCATTTTTTTAAAATCTAAGAGTCATTGTTTCTTTGTATAAGAATTCCATCCATTCCAATTGTTATGATAATTTATGTTTTGGGTTTTATTTCTGTTGTTTCATTGTCTGTTTCCTATTTACCATGTCTGCACTTTGTTTCTTTTAATTTGTCCCTCTCCTGACTTAGCTAGATTGAATTTATTTGCTCACTGGCTTCTATTGTCTACCAGTGGCTACCCTTAACTATAAATGTTTAAGAAATACATTGATATTATATTACCCTATGAATATAAAATGTAATATCTATAGTTACCCCCCAACTCCCAGCCCCCAAGGGTATGGCAAGTTCTTCAACGTACTGACCTTCCTCACTTTAGTGGCCAGACTGTGCTGTCCCAACTCACGGAGGTGCCATTTTCATGGGATAATGTTAAGTGGCACCTCCTGGGTTTCACAGCTATCAAATTGAAATCCTGCAAATTTCAGTTCCAGATTTGTTTCTCTCTCCCCCCCTTCCTTCCCCCTCCATTCCTTCCTTTTTGTGGATTCTTACCTGAAGTTTCAATATATTTCAATTTTTCGTAGTTACGTTATCAGCAAGTATTTAGACGTGTTTACATTTTTTTTCATTTTTTCATTTTTTTTTATTTATTTTTTTATTTTTTAGAGAGAGAGAGCAGGGAGGGGCGGAGAGAGAGAGGGTGAGAGAGAATCCCAAGCAGGCTCTGTGCTGTGACGTGGGGCTTGAACTCACAGGCCGTGAGATCATGACCTGAGCCGAGATCAAGAGTCAGATACTTAACCGACACCTCAACAATCTTCTGGAAGGATTAGGGCTTCCGTTGTTATTCCCGGCAAGTAGTTAGACTTAATTACAAGCTTTACTTGTTGCCGTCCTTGTGCCTCTTTCCCCTTTTCATTTTGTCTCTTTCTTTTATTTTACTTCACTTTTTTTCCTGAACTATCGGCAAGTACCTTGTTAGAAAGGTGCTCGGGCAGCGTCTTCCCTTCGTGTCTCTAGAACCAGCCTCTCCCGTTCTCTCTGCCCCAGCACCAGGGACACATCTATGGGGACTACATTCCTCCTCAAACCCCTTGGATCTGGAGCCTCTACACTGTCCCCGTGAGGTTCCCCACAAATAGTCCCGTTACTAAACTCTCTTCCAATTACCCTAAATTGAGGGTGCCACCTGCTGTCACTCTGAATGACACTGGTCCTTATGAAACAACAAACTCACTTTGCTACAGAGGGTCCTTGTGTGATTTTTTTCAGCTTCCCGTGGGTTTATCGGATGTCACTCCATCATGAGTCCAGGACGATCTATAATGTAAAGTCTGGGTAATCTCATGTCCGTTTCCTTCTAGTCTTTTGTCGAAGCATAGGGTTTTCTTCTAATTATGGGTCAGATCGAAAGCACAATTCTGAATACAGAGTAATTCTCAGGTTCACATGTGAGGTCCTGAGAGTTAATGAGGAATCCTATGGGCAGACCCCCAAGGGTGTTGCTTCCTGAGTGGAAAAGAGTTCAGCTTCTCTCGGAGTGAGAACCATCTACCCCATTGAAGGCTGGGATGCATCCAGAGGCAGATTCACCGAGGTGCCACCTGGGTGCAGAGAACCTGACTGGGGTGCCTGGGAGTCTAGGCCGGCTGATAGGCTGTTTCCAGCTGTGGTCTCTCTGGTTCTGCCCTCTATGTCTCTAGAAGACCAATCCCCTTGGCAAGTAAATCCATTGGTGGAAGTGGAAGGTTACGAGAACAATAATGAAACACCACCAGCATGCTTTCGGTGCTGATTTATAGGTTGGTAAAGGATACCTCTCTTAGCCGTTGCCATGTTGTGTATTAAGACATAGGCTATCATGTAGCTGGTTTTATTAAAGACTTCAGAACTCTTTGACTTTGAATATTTTTCTCCTAATCTTCTTATAATTCTTCTCCAGGGCCTGGGACGTAGGAAGATCTCCCCAGAGAAAAGGCAACACGTTTCAAGAAATTTCAATCTGTGGGCATGTGACTATGTCCCATCTTATCTTGATGGCTTTTCAAATAACCAAATATCTTATGTCTGTCAAGAAATCATGGTGGTCCCAATTTTCAGACGCTTCCCAAAGCATTATAATGAGATATGGAACTCTTTTAAATTTATTCCTCAGAGAAGCTATACAGAGTTTTTGAAAAAGAATCCCAAAGTAAGTTTCACTATTGACAAATTTTTGGTTCTTCACGGGAGCCCTAAATCCTTCCAGAAGATTGTGGATGAGTTTTGTAATATTGGTATTGCCCTGGACATTCTAAAAGCATGTGTTTTCCGGTCCAGCACCACTAGTTGAAATAGGATTTACATTAGAGGTTAGAGACTGTATACGCCTTACACGGAGGTGAAGTACTCTTGCAGTGATAAACAGAGACTAAAGTCCTTATGTTGAGAAACAAGAAAAGCTACAGATTACGTTATCATCATATCATTATGTTGTTATGTTATCACTCCCCACCTTGAAAATATTTCTGTTTTTTAGTAAGGTTGAAAAACATTCAAGTCCTTATAAAATAAAGACATGCGAAGATACACACACTGTAAATGAAAGGATTTTGAACAAAAAATGTATTTGAAGGAACTTTAAAATTGCCACATTACCTTTGGGTGAAGTTTTAAAAATTATGTAATTAATTTATGATTCTATTTTTCTTTTGAAAGTTCAAACAATACAGAGGAACCAGAAGTCCCCCTTGATTTCATCACATCTCCAATCCTTGTCCTGTCCCCAGAAGTAAGTTAACCATTTGTTTCTATTCTGTGCACTTATAATGTGTAACTACATATACATTTTGAACATAAACTGTTATACAGCCCATAATGCTCTATAACTTTCTTTTTTTTTTTTTTAATTTTT